GAAATTTTGACTTGTTGTTGACTCTTCTTGACTTTCTTGATTCTTGATGATCAAGTTTGACATTTTTAAATGTTTTGGTGAAACTTGATCTTTGAATTTCGATATTGATCAAAAAGTCAAAGTTTGACTTTTTGTGTATTAGTTGACTTTTCATCAGTTAATCAAATTTCAACTATCAATCATTTGATCTTGAGAAATGATTTGAGCCATGAAATTAGGTCAAGACATTATGTTTTAATCCTTAAGATCATATTTCAATCTATTAAGTCATGTATTAGGTCAAAAGTCAATGATCAGTCATTCTCAATCAAAACCCTAATTTTGACAATTTTGCCCCTTTGATGATTTAGATGCTTTTCTTGAGGAATTATGATCAACCCTTGATCAATTGATGAATATGACTTCAAAATATTTATGTTGGCCCAAAATCTTGAAGTTTTACTGTAGGTTGACCACAATTGACTTTTTACCCAATACAGTTGATTTCCAGTCATTTGAGCAATTGATTGAGCAATTTTGAGATGTAAGACTTGAAATTTGGCATGAGCATTCTTGTAGGTCCATGATGAACCGTGAAAGTCAATTGAGGCATTATAAGTCCAAATTTCCTTGTGAAAACCAAAACCCTAATTTGTGGCTCCAGTGCTTAGGAGGTGAGCTTGTCTTATCAAGTCTTGAGAATCTTTGAGCATTTGAGATTTTTTGTGAGAAATGTCTTGAGAAAAGAGAGGGAAAATTTTGGGGGTACAACAGATAGTATGTACACCATGCCAAAAACTGATTACCAAAATTTAACATTATCATAACACCCATCGCTTACTAAATACTTGACCAAATTATTTACCAGATGTTCAAACCTTACAAATTTAAAAACACGGAGTCAACATAAACAAAAAACACATACAACTAATCCTTCTTTCCCATTACATATCCAACGCAATTTGTTTCACTGTCTATTCTTTCCCGGCTCAACATGAACCAGTATTTCATCGGCTGGCGGATATCGAATGCATAATGTCTCCTTTCTTTAATTTTTCCTGTTTAGCAAATTCATACCAACCAGTTGTGAGATACTTCTCGCCTTCGTCATCATTCCTCACTTTCACTACACAATTTTCTGAGATGTTGTTGTCTGAATCATATAAGTCAATCGCGCTGGCGGGTCCCATGAGGCACTTCTTAATCACTTCACGCGGTAGTTGCTGCAAAAGATTTACTTAAATTATATGACATTCAACCCTGAAAAAAATTAAATATACTGCTGCAACGATTAACTTCTATTACTTACCAACACACTCATCTTCATAACCTTAGCATTAGATACAACCCTGCTCCATGTTTCTTCATTTTCTTCAACATACATTAGAGTAAATTTTCTGATTCAAGCACCAAACCAAATATATGCATACTAATGTTAATGTATTTCTTCAATATAACTTGTCCAATACATTTTAGCCATCCTAAAGATATTTTAAAACTACATCATATACTACATTATTTATGGATTTTTAATGCTGTTAAACTTTTCCAACATAACCACATCATAGAAAATACACAACAATATAGTTGGATTCCATTATATTTGTATTCTCTATAATTCTGGAAAAAACAGAACAGGCCACGGAAGACTTAGTACTCTGTACATACTGAACTTCCAACCAAAAGCCTACGTAAATTATGCTTTTATAACCTTATTATCGCATTGTACGTCAATAATATATACATAACATTTTGCGACATTATTATCATGACAACAATAATATATACATAAATTTGTTACACAACAGGAAAAAAACACCTACATTTAATAACATCCATGCCTTTTTAAATATATCAATTCCAAAAATAAAACTTACCCTGACATTGTTGACCCTTTGACACCTGCTGAATTGTTATTAATTCCTTTTGCTTTAACATTACATTTGCTTCCTCCGAATTTACGTTCATCAGAACCTTTCCCTTTTGATGGAGAATCAAGACGTATTCCAGACAAAGAACGGTATTCTTTAAAACCAATTATATCCATCTTTATATTGGTTTGTTGGAGAAATTTACGTGAAGATTCAACATATTTGTTATACTTTTTTCTGATCTTTTGGCGTTCAACCGGTGACAAATTCTCCCAAAAAGATATGCAACAACTTTCATCATGCATATATATTACTCACAACCTATATAACTTCTAACTAAGACAGTATCGATTCCACCAACAAAATCAACAATACTTGAAGATCGATAGCTACTGACTTATCCACATGCATGTCGTTTGCTCCCAAGATTCTTCATCTTCAACTAGAAGTTGAACCGAGATTTTATTTCTACTGCTTCTCCGCGTTATGGTAAGCTGCAATTTGTAATTTTAACAGGAGCGCTTTTTCTGTATATCTCAATGCAAATCCATTTTAACCATATCATCCCTAGAATGTTCCTTTTGTACTTCCATTCCTTCTTTGACAGCGGCCCAATGGCCCATTTGACTCTCCATATCTTTTTTGGCAATAAAATATTCTCTAATAGATACAAATTATTTCTTTTTATATTATATGTTTATATTATTATATCTTTTTAAACAGAATAAAGATTATAGTTTTGTTATTATTTTATACTTGCAACAAGATCAGTGGTCAAGATTTAATCAATATTAAAATAAAAAGTGAATCCACTTATACATATACTCACATTTTCACCCGGTGTACACAAAACACAATCGTCTTCAAGTCTAACCCTCCCCACACAATGCGCTTTCTCCTCTTTGGATCATCCAAACATGCCCGCCAGAGACTGCTCGAAGACCACAACAACCTCAGACGAAAACACATCACGGTAAGTGCGAATGTTAGAACTATGATTATTGCTGAATGCATGTTGTTTCAGTTGTTAAAATACTAACTTGTATGTATCTGCATGTGTGTTTAACGATGGTTGTTTGTGGTCATTTATAATGTTTTTGATGGTTAATGGGTTAGAAACTCATGTATCAGGTTTTTTATGCTACAGGATGATGAAAACGATTTTGTACAGTGATTATTTAGGGTTACCTTCCTTCGGATGAACCTGAAAACAAACACTTAGCATATGCGGAATAGTTTATAATATTCATATAAGTAATATGCATTTCCTGATTTTTGTTGAAATACGGAATCTGGTCACTCGCACACTTATAACAGAGTTTGTTGTTTCTGTTGAAATATTGTAGGACATATACCCCTGTTGCTGAGAAGAGTTTAGAACAAAGTTGGACTAGAGTTGTTTCTGATCCCATGACCATGCGCTGCAATGCCCTTGTAAGTAAAAAAACTCATATATATCTATATCTTTCAATTGGGAATATTGGTAACAAAACTATACAAACTCATTTTATTCACCCATATATATTTGTTCATTAACAGCAAATACCCAGAGACATAATCAGAAATTGTTTTCGGGGAGGAGACAGATCGATTAAGCTATTAGATTGCGACAAAGGAGTCTCGTACTATTTCCTTTTAAAAAAGCGGAAAGGGAGTGTGGAAAGGTACCTCTTAGGTGACTGGTATGAATATGCCAAGGAAGCCAATCTAAAGGTTGGTGATACAATATACTTCGGCATCCGTTACCCACCAGTGGATGAGATATTTATACGGTGGAGCAAGGAAATGCAACTAAGGGTTGGCGGTCATGGTAGGATAATGTTAAAAAAATTTATTTAAATAGAAAGGACATATGTTTATGTCAAAACTTATGGTGTTTTTGGTTTCTTATGAGTGTCTTTACCAACATTACAATGACTTTAAGTTGCCCCACCATTGTTATTAGGTGAACAACTTATTTTGTGTAACATGAAACTTATGAATGTTTTATATTACTGTCTTATTAGATAATTAAGTATGTTTGTTTCATATATTTTTGTTATTATCATTATGTGACAATTTGACTATACCGTCGTACAAGTGACAATTATAACTGTTGAACAATTGTGCAATACAATTGAAGCTATTCTCCCTTCATTCATGACCTCTTCTTCAAATTTATGCAAGCCTTTGTGACTGTGATGTTTTATAATTATCTATGTTTGCTGGTTGTAACTGTTGGTAGTGTAAGATTGAAATTTTGTTAGCGTCATGAGCATGTATTGGTTGCATTTGGGAAAATAAATCTACAACAAGATCTTTACAACAACAAGTCTTTGTGACTGTGATGTTTTATAATTATCCATGTTTGCTGGTTGTAACTGTTGGTAGTGTAAGGTTGAAATTTTGTTAGTGCCATGAGTATGTATTAGTTGCATTTGGAAAAATAAATCTACAACAAGATCACAACAAGATCTTTACAGCAACCTCTGCTTTCATTTTATTACATTGTTATAGAGCTATGATAAAGTGTGGTAATACAATGTAAATAGTTTTGAGGTAATTCCAATTGAAATAACATGTGTTGTTGTGTGTTATCACTTTATGCTATATTTTGGTATCTAAAATGTGATTTTAACGAAAGTAGCATGTATTGTTGGAAACTTGCAGTTAACATACAAGGCTTGTGGCAGTTAAAAATTATATATATGTTTGCACGTTAAACTTAAGTGAAATAGTATCAATGATATAAATAAGAATGATATGTTTTTGTTACTATTTCATTTTAACATTATTTATTTAATTTAAACTATTCTATTTTATTGATTTATATATATTGTACAAACTAATAATACAAAATATAATTTTTATAAATTAAATTATTCTTTTATTTATATTATTTTTTTCTTTGTAAATGAAATCCGCTTAACTCAATGAGAATGTCGGACTGTTATCTGTGCGAACATACTAATTTTAATTTTAATTTCAAATCCCTCGTCACTTCTCAAACCTTGAAAATCCTTCAAAATCCTTATAACCCACTGTTCCTTCCCACATAAGCCCCTCACGAATTCCTTCCTTACCCACTTATCCTCCCTGTGTGACGTTCACAATCTCAAAAGGGCTTTTGCATCCACAATCTATCTAATCGATTTCGATACGATCCATACCATGCCTGTTTCGATGAAATCTGCCAACAGTGCTGCCCTGGATTTTGCAATTGTTAAAACAGTGTTTAAAAATAGGTTTTTTTATCCCTTTTTGATTCGTGGGGTGGTGGTGTTATTGATATTTCCAGGAACAATGATAACCTTGCTGATTTTTTTGTGTGCCTGTTTTTGAAGAGAATTGTAGGGTTGCTTTGAGAGAGAAGATGAAGTTCATGAAGCCGGATGTTGCTGCTTGTAATGCTGCTCTTGAAGCTTGCTGTTGTGATGTTGCTCTTGAAGAAGGAGTATTCTTTATGCACACATCGTTACTCATTTAGTAAAACCATGATGAAAACAGGAACAAATAGACGAAAAAGAGCTGGTTTTTTCACAAATAAAAATGGGGACTAATTGAAAATGGATAAGGAATCAACCCAGTTGGTTGTGGAAAAAGAAACCAAGTTAACAACAATTATAAATTATCAGATGAAAAGATGTTGATAGAGATGAAATTGTAGTGAAGAGATTGTGAAATACTAGTTTTCTCCATTTTTGACTTCTAATGCTTCTGGTTTTCTCTCACTTTTTGATATTGTAACTGTGCGTTTATATATATAATCAACATAATATTATTTCATACTTGACACGTAGCATAGATGGTTGGCTATCATCCAGTTATCCTTAGTGACATGGGTTTTAATCCTGTGGTAGCAAAATTTTGATTTTCGCCTTCTTTTAGCTTTAATAATTATTTAACATTAAAATAAATAGACACGTCACTTGGATGTATGCCACGTCAGAAGCCAAATGTGCAAAAATAGACACCGTTTTTAAATGACCCACTTTGAGTGGTTCCGACCCAGTCGGTAATTTTACTCAATCATTAGTCTCTTATTTTCAACTTATGAACATTTGAGAACAAATAGAAGAATTTTCGCACAATATGTCTTCAAATTTAATAGTCGGTCATGTAAGCAACATTCTTAAAGACTAGCGATTGTTTAACAAAAATACTGATAAAGGATTTGCTAAAAGATAACTAAAATGTGGTAGGAGATCAACAGGCTATTATTTTTTTGCAGGATGAATCTGCTGTGTCAGTTTGGTAAGGGTTGTTACAGGGCTTCTTTTTTTTCCGCCCGAAGTCATAATGTATAATGGAAGGTCTAACATACAATTTTTAAATATTAAACATAAATACAGAAGCTTGGCCAACAAATTTATCTTAGTCAACCAAAGTTAGCTGGACAATCACTCTTAAGCATGACATGTTGCCATCTACCAAATCCAAACAAATGGAATATAGAAGCAATGTTGGTCATTAAGTCTAACCTTGCCAAACAATATAAGTTATCAATCTCCACTTTACACAATACCTTCAACATGGAGGTAAATAAATGTAATATAATAATTCCGTGGTTCAGTTTAAAATTGAGTCATCCGTATAACTAACTATACATCATACATAGAAATGAATGTATGATGGTTAAATGCAAGCTTTCACTCAACTGAGAAGTTGCATATGACTGAAATCTTGCATTTGCTATAGACAAATTATATGCTCCTAACTCATCAACGTGAGTGGACATTTTATTCCTCTCTAACTCAAAATATTAAAAGATAGATGAAACAAACATATAGAATATATGTCATTGGTTGAAGACCTGGATATATATTTTTATGCTACAATATATATAAGGTTATCATATCTTGGAAGCATCAGCCGTGACACGGTTAAGGGCGATGGCAGTCTTTGAGCCAGAGGGGCGTCCCAATTGTTTGCTGATGAAGTCCCCAGCTGACATTAGCTTTTCAATATCAACATTGGTTTTCACACCGAGTCCATTAAGCATGTACACAACATCCTCAGTAGCTACATTTCCTGAAGCCCCCTTAGCATATGGACAGCCACCAAGACCAGCAACCGAAGAATCCACTGCACTTATTCCCATCTATTTATATATGCATACAAACCAATAGTGTCGTTTAAAAACTGTGACTACCAAATCATAAAAGGAAGACCCAGTTTAATCTGGTTATATACATACCTATATTCTAGAAAATATATGATCAAGATTCCCTAATGTTGGAAAACCCTGAATTTTCCAGACATGTACTGGCCGTCCAATCAAGATATGGCTAATGTTTTAACTTGGTAAGTCACATTCAAAATACTCAATTGAAATGTGATTTGTTTGATCTTGATTAGGCAGCCCTGAGATGCATGCCTGCAGCAAATTCTGGATTTTCCAACTGTAGAATCCACATCTAATATAGTATATCGTATTCATGGATACTAGGGAATCTTCATTAATTATAGTCATTTGATGGTTCGTTCATTAATTGGTGCTTTTATTACATATTACATAAATAGAAGAGGCAAAAGTTCAATACATTCTACACATCAATAAACACAAAAATGAAAAACTCAAGCTAATTGTTAACTTACTTGGAGGGATACAAGAATATTTGGAAGGGATTGCCCATATGTGTCATGGAAGTGAACAGCAAGCTTTTCTATTGGGACAACAGCCATTACAGCCAAAAGCATAGGAACTACGGTTCCTGATCATAACAGAAATAGCAAACTCAGAAAGAGTAAATAATTCAGGAATACAAGGAAAAGCACAAAGTTTGACATTAATCGCCTAATTCTTCCCGGTCTTAATTCAATATTTGACACTCATTTACTATTTTCACTTGTAATTATATAAATACCATCTTATTGTCCATCTGTTTTCTGAGTTTATTTATTTTCAGAAATGGTGAAAATAACATATATTGTTAAATCTTTGAAAAGATGAAATGGTAAAACAAGGGTAACATTTTTGTAATTATGTGAAAATAAGAAAGAATCGTTTTCTAGAACCAAGTATGCCTTCAAGTTTAAAATTAGAAAGGAAAAAAATCATCTAACTTGTTACCTGGTGTGCCTACCCCAATTGTGTCACCAAGTGAGATTTCGAAGCAACCCATATCATATAGTTCTTTAGCCACATAAGCTACTTTTGATGGAGGGACTGATCCATCAACTGGGCATCCAACAACGCATGATACATATCTGCCAAATTTAAATATAACACTGATTGGAATAAGCAGAACATAAACAGAATTTTTGTCCATATACTTTTCAACATCAACGCAAAGGGACTTTCACTTTTGTTACTGTTAGACCTTGATGGCTTTTCAACATACAAAGGCAGTGCCAAGTTCTCTCAAAACAGAAAAACAAATATAAATGATGAGACTGGTTTTAAGTATTTCGTAGAATGTAGGGTCTTACTGGATAGCATTAGGAACAGTGGTTTAATGGTTAGGAGGTAAAAGGATGTTCCAATGGAAACACTGTCACAAATCACTCGTAAAGGAACCGATAAATACTAGGGACCTTTAACATGGTAAAAGACAAAGATATATAACCATTTCTTGGTCTACTCTTAGCTTGAGTTTGTGCTCAATCCTTGCAGTGACATTCTTAAATAAAACATTAAAACTTTAGTGCAGGGTAAAACGAGTAATGTGCATTATCCATGCTTCAAATCCTTAAAAAGTCAATAATATATATGTAAATTACTATATCTACATTTCAAATTGTAAAAAACTGTTTTGCGTAGTACAAATACAAGATAACCAGTTAGTTTAATGTAAGATGAACGTTCTAATTAATTTGTACATGCGCAGACAGATACAAAGAAGATATTGCAGGGAAAGAAATGCAAATCCAGGAGAGACAAAATATTTGAGATCTTTCAGTCCAGCATACAAACCACTTGTAAGTATATTGAAGTGATGTTAGATGGATGCTTAGAATAATGGAGAAACAAAATGCATACCCTCGAACTGGAATTGAGAGCTCTTTAGCAGCACGAGTAACAGTTCGATAGCGGGCAAGACTCTCTTCAATACTACAATTAATGTTTGATTTTGAGAAAGATTCAGAAGCAGATGCAAAAACAGCTACTTCTCTAGCTCCAGCAGCAATAGCAGCTTCAAAACCCTATTAATTGTACGATATAGATAAGACACCTGAATATAAGCCTGACAACTTATAGTTGTTCTAGATAGTTGCACCTTTAAATTAGGAGTGAGAACTGGCAATCTGATGCCTCCCAGGTTATGAACCGCTTGCATCACATCTTTTGCATCAGCCAACTGACAGACAAATAAATAGTATGGCATACAAGAAGGTAAATCTCAAAGTCACACTGGAAATAAACGGGCTAAAAAGAATAACAACTAGCATTCTAGTTGTCAGTTGTCACCATATCTTTTATAATGGACAAATCAACTACAACTGTACACCAAATGGGTAAGGTCTATTGGAATAGAATGATTTTGAGGTGAATGGGTCTGGTGGGAAGAAAAATGGATAATATATAATATTCTTTATTGTTGAGCACAAATATAAAGTGAGGGGAATTATTGGAAGAAATATAATAGTTTAGTTAAAGAATAGAAAATGAGTTCTGGCCATTTCCTTTTAACTTATGGGAATGAGAACTACTAATATGATGTAAATACACATTGAAGAAATTGTGCCACAACAATCATTCATAATATAAATTTAAACAACTATGACAAAAGTCATTATAATTTATACCTGTGGGACCCATTTGGGAGATACAAAACTAGTAGCCTCAATGACAGATAACCCGGTAGAAGCTAGTCTACGAATCAATTCAATCTTTACAGTTGTTGGTACAATGTTGTTCTCATTTTGTAATCCATCCCTTGGTCCAACTTCAACTATCTTAACAAACTCTGGCATGCCTTTCATAAACTGCATTGCCCAATTAAAATTTGGAAGTATGTTATAAACCAGGCAAAGAAAAATGATAAAATCACCAACTAAAGAGAATTTAAACTTTATGACACATGACATACAGAAAGGACTGCTGCCACTGCATTACCTTATATGCCATATCTTGCATGTCTTTGTTATTGCGATTTTGACTGTACTGATAATCTGAGGCATAAAATGAATTATTGACTGTTCCAAATTTTGAGTTTCTCCCTATGATCGTAGTCTTTTGAGTGAAAGAGTCTCCTCGGGACATGTCTCTTGTTTGCCTTTTCCAAGGGTAATCTTCATTGTCTTCACTGCACAGAATATAGTTTAAGGTTATGTTATGCATATGGTTGGTTGGCAGTGAGTGAAAAGTAAAGGAGGGAAAAATGAAGTTGGGAGATAATTAAATATATGGATATAGGTATTGATTTATACTCACTTGCAGGTGTTAGATGTGCTGCAACTTCGTCCTTCAATCCAGCAGTTTCCCATACCCAAATTATCTACTTGTGGACGGCAACAACCAGATGAGAACCTCTGAACTCTATC